GGGGTGGGTCCGTGAGGGGGAGGGGGGGGCGCTGCCGTGAGGGGTTGGGGGTCTGAGGGCGGTTGGGGGTGCTGCGGGAGGCGTTTTTGAGGGGTTTTTGAGGGATTTTGGGGGACTGGGAGTGCGCGGAGGGGATTTTGGGGTGTCTGCTGTGGGGTGAGAGGGGCCCAGGAAGGTTTTGGGGGGGTCCCAGGTGGGGTTTTGGGGGTCTGGAATGGGTCTGGGGGATTCTGAGGATCGCCCAGGGTGGGATTATGGGGGTCCGGAGGGGATTTTGGGGAGTCTGGGGGTGTCTGGTGTGGGATGAGAGGGGCCCAGGAAGGTTTTGGGGAGTCCCAGGTGGGTTTTTGGGGGGTCCCAGGTGGGTTTTGGGGGTCTGGGGGGGATCCGGTGTGGGGGGAAGTGGCTGCAGTGAGGGCAGAATTTTGGGATTTTTGGATGGGGGGGGGTTCAGGGGGTCCTGACCCAGCCTGTGCCCCCCCCCAGAGCCCCCCAGGATGACGCAGTTCCTGCCCCCCAACCTTTTGGCCCTCTTTGCCCCCCGGGACCCCATCCCTTACCTGCCCCCCCTGGAGAAGTTACCCCACGAGAAGCACCACAACCAACCCTACAGCGGCATCGCGCCCTACATCCGGGAGTTCGAGGTACCCCAGACCCCCAAACCCACCCAGAACCCTCCCCGGAACCCCCAAACCCACCCAGAACCCTCCCCGGAACCCCAAAACCCCCCCCAGAACCCCAAACGCACCCCAAAACCCTCCCTAGACCCCCAAAACCCTAACCCAGAACTCCGTAAAACCACCCCAGATCCCCAGAATCCCCCAAAACCTCACCCCAGAACTCCCCAGACCCCCAAAACCCTCCCCAGACCTCCCAGCATCCCCTTACACCCCCAAAACCCCACCTTAGAACTCTCCAAAACCCCACCCGAGACCCCCAAAACCCTGCCTAGAACTCCTCAAAACCACCCCAGACCCCCAAAACCCCACCCCAGAACTGANGGACCCCCCCAAATCCCCTCTGTGTCCCCCCAGGACCCCCGCGATGCCCCCCCGCCGACGCGCGCCGAGACGCGCGAGGAGCGCATGGAGCGCAAGGTACGTCCAGAACCCCCCAAAACGGGGGGGGGCAAACCCCCCCAAAACTGGGTGCAGACCCCCCCAAGGGCACTCAGCCCCTTCCTCACCAGGCTGGGGGTGCTGGGGGGGTCCCCAAAACTGGCACCAAAGGGGTGTTGCCCCCTGAATTTCAGCTCGTCCCCAATGCCAGACTTGGTTCATCCCCCCTGGGTTTTAGGGGATCCTCCTGGGTTGTGCCCCCCCCCCTCCACCGCTGGGATTTTTTGGGGTCCCCTCTGGATTTTGGGGGGCTGTGGGTGGAGCCTGTGGGTTTGGGGACCCCCTGAGGTCACCCCAACCCCCATTTTTTTATCATTTTTTCCCCAAACAGCGGCGGGAGAAGATCGAGCGAAGGCAGCAGGAGGTGGAGTCTGAGCTCAAGCTCTGTAAGTTGGGGGATCCCATGGGGCTGGGGGGGGTCCCGTGAGGCTGGGGGGGTCCCCCCTTTTCCTCTGACCCCCCCCTTTTCCTCTTTTCCCCCAGGGGACCCCCACAATGACCCCAATGCTCAAGGAGATGCCTTCAAAACCCTGTTTGTGGCCAGAGTGGTGAGTGCTGGGGGGAAAAAATGGGGTCCCCCCCAATTTGGGGGGACTCCCACCCATTTTTGAGGTTTCCCCAGGTCCTTGGGGGTCTCCTCTCAATCTTTGGGGTTCCCCAATCCATGGGGTCCCCCTTGATTTTGAGTTCTCCTCTGAATCCATGAGGTTTTTCTTTATCTTTGGAGGTCTGTGGCGCTCGCCCCTGCTCTGTGGGGTTCCCTTCAATCTTTGGGGTCTCCTCCAGATTTTTGGGGTTTTCCCCAATCTTTGGGATCCCCCAGTTCTTGGGAACTCCCCCCAATTTTGGGGTCACCCTTCTTCATTTCTTCCCAGAATTACGACACGACGGAGTCGAAGCTGCGCCGAGAGTTTGAAGTTTACGGCCCCATCAAGAGGGTGAGTGGGGGGCATCACCCCCAAAAAATGCCCCCCCAAACACCCCTGTGCTGTCCAGGGGGGTCACACCTGTCCCCAAATCCATATTTTGGGGTGTCACACCTGTCCCCTCACACCTGGAGATGTACCTGGAGTACAACCAC